TTGCATCACTTCTACTTTGTAAAAACTTCTCATATGCTAACTTTTTCTCCTTACTACTCTCTTTACATCATCATTCCACCAATCGCTCCTCTTCCCTCCTGCACCCACTTTCCTGTAACCACAAACTTCTGCTGAACACTCTAACACTACATTTTTAAACCTACCCCTACCTCTTCGACCCCATTGCCTATGCTCTCATTAGCCCATCTATCCCCCAATAGCTGTTTATATCTTACCCTAACTGCCTCCTCTTTAGTTTTATAAAATTCACCTCTCTCTTCCCTGATGCTTCTATCTCCTTGTATCCCATCTACCTTTTACTCTCAGTGTAGCTACAACTAGAAAGTGATCTGATATATCTGTGGCCCCTCTTTAAAACATGTACATCCTGAAGTCTACTCAACAGTCTTTTATCTACCAATACATAATCCAACAAACTATTGTCATTTCGCCCTACATCATATCTTGTATACTTATTTATCCTCTTTTTCTTAAAATATGTATTACCTATAACTAAACCCCTTTCTATACAAAGTTCAATCAAAGGGCTCCCATTATCATTTACACCTGGCACCCCAAACTTACCTACCACACCCCTCTCTAAAAGTTTCTCCTACTTTAGCATTCAGGTCCCCTACCACAATTACTCTCTCACTTGGTTCAAAGGCTCCTATACATTCACTTAACATCTCCCAAAATCTCTCTCTCTCCTCTGCATTCCTCTCTTCTCCAGGTGCATACACGCTTATTATGACCCACTTCTCGCATCCAACCTTTACTTTAATCCACATAATTCTTGAATTTACACATTCATATTCTCTTTTCTCCTTCCATAACTGATCATTTAACATTACTGCTACCCCTTCCTTTGCTCTAACTCTCTCAGATACTCCAGATTTAATCCCATTTATTTCCCCCCACTGAAACTCTCCTACCCCCTTCAGCTTTGTTTCGCTTAGGGCCAGGACATCCAACTTCTTTTCATTCATAACATCAGCAATCATCTGTTTCTTGTCATCCGCACTACATCCACGCACATTTAAGCATCCCAGTTTTATAAAGTTTTTCTTTTTCTCTTTTTTAGTAAATGTCTACAGGAGAAAGGGTTACTAGCCCATTGCTCCCGGCATTTTAGTCGCCTCATACGACACGCATGGCTTACGGAGGAAAGATTCTTTTCCACTTCCCCATGGACAATAGAAGAAATAAAGAAGAACAAGAGCTATTTAGAAAAAGGAGAAAAACCTAGATGTATGTATATATATATATGCATGTGCGTGTCTGTGAAGTGTGACCAAAGTGTAAGTAGGAGTAGCAAGATATCCCTGTTATCTAGCATGTTTATGAGACAGAAAAAGAAACCAGCAATCCTACCATCATGCAAAACAGTTACAGGTTTCTGTTTCACAGTCATCTGGCAGGACGGGAGTACTTCCCTGGGTGGTTGCTGTCTACCAACCTACTACCTATTATTATTATTATTATTATTATTATTATTATTATTATTATTATTGTTGTATTTATGGAGAAATAATAAGTAATACATATTTTATGAAAAAGAGGATAAATAAATATACAAGGTATGATATAGCACGTAATGAAAGTAGTTTGTTAGATTATGTATTGGTGGGTAGGCTTCAGGATGTACACGTTTATAGAGGGGCAACTGATATATCGGATCATTATCTAGCTGTAGCTACAGTTAGAGTAAGAGGTAGATGGGATAAGAGGAAAATGGCAACAACAAAGTAAGAGGAGGTGAAAGTGTATAAACTAAGGGAGGAGGAAGTTCAGGTGAGATATAAGCAACTATTGGCAGAAAGGTGGGCTGGTGCAAGAAATGAGTAGTGGGGGGGTTGAAGAGGGGTTGGAATAGTTTTAAAAATGCAGTATTAGAATGTGGGGGCAGAAGTTTGTGGTTATGGAGGGTGGGTGCAGGAGGGAAGAGGAGTAATTGGTGGAATGAAGAAGTAAGGGTGTGGATAAAAGAGAAAAAGTTAGCTTATGAGAGGCTTTTACAAAGCAGAAGTGTTATAAGAAGAGTAGAGTATATGGAGAGTAAAAAAAAGGTGAAGAGAGTGCAAAAGGAGAGCAGATGATAGAGTGGGAGAGGCACTGTCAAGAAATTTTAATGAAAATAAGAAAAAATATTGGAGTGAGTTAAACAAGTTAAGAAAACCTAGGGAACAAATGGATTTGTCAGTTAAAAATAGAGTAGGAGAGTTAGTAGATGGGGGAGATGGAGGTATTGGGTAGATGGCGAGAATACCTTGAGGAACTTTTAAATGTCAACGAAGACAGGGAGGCAGTAATTTTATGCACTGGCCAGGGAGGTATACCATCTTTTAGGAGTGAAGAAGAGCAGGATGTAAGTGTGGGGGAGGTGCATGAGGCATTACGTTGAATGAAAGGGGGTAAAGCAGCTGGAACTGATGGGATCATGACAGAAATGTTAAAAGAAAGGGGGAGTTTAAAAGTGTTGGAAGGTTTGGTTTATTTTTGTTTAATAAAGGGATTGAAAGAGGGGAAGGTACCTAGGGATTGGGGGAGAGCATGTATAGTCCATTTATAAAAAGGGGAAGGGGGGGACAAAAGAGATTGTAAAAATTATAGACGAATTAGTTTACTGAGTTATCTAGGAAAAGTGTACTGTAGGGTTATTATTGAAAAAATTTAGAGGAAAGACAGAATGTAGGATTGCGGATGAGCAAGGAGGTTTTTAGAGTGGGTAGGGGTGTGTAGATCAGGTGTTTACATTGAAGCATATATGTGAATTGGTATTTAGAAAAAGGTAGGGAAGTTTTTATTGCATTTATGGATTAGAAAAGGCATATGATAGAGTGGATAGAGGAGCAATGTGGCAGATGTTGGCAAGTATATGAAATAGGTGGTAAGTTACTAAATGTTTGTCAAGAGTTTTTATGAGGATAGTGAGGCTCAGGTTAGGGTGGGGTAGAAGAGAGGGAGACTACTTCCCGGTTAAAAGTAGGTCTTAGACAGGGAGGGTGTAATGTCACCATGGTTGTTTAATTATTTATAGATGGGGTTGTAAAAGAAGTAAATGCTAGGGTGTTCGGGGAAAGGGGTGGGATTAAATTATGGGGAATAAAATACAAAATGGGAAGTGACACATTTTACTTTTTGCTGATGGTACTGGGGCTTATGGGTGATTCTAAAGAAAAATTGCAGAGGTTAGTGGCCCAATTTGGGAGTGTGTGTAATGGATAGAAGTTGAAAGTGAACATAGAAAAGAGTAAGGTGATGAGGGTATCAAATGTTTTTAGATAGAGAAAAATTGGATATAAAATTGGGGAGGAGGAGTATGGAAGAAGTGAATGTTTTCAGATATTTGGGAGTTGAGGGTATCAGCTTATGGATTTATAAAGGGATGAGGTTAATCATGGAATTGATGAGGAAAAAAAAGGTGAGTGGTGCGTTGAGGTTATATGTGGAGACAAAGAACGTTATCTATAGAGGCAAAAAAGGGAATGTATGAAAGTATAGTAGTACCAACACTCTTATATGGGTGTGAAGCTTGGGTTGTAAATGCTGCAGTGAGGAGGCAGTTGAGATGTCCTGTCTAAGGGCAATGTGTGGTGTAAATATTATGCAGAAAATTCAGTGTGTGGAAATTAGGAGAAGGTGTGGAGTTAATAAAAGTATAAATCAGAAGGCTGAAGAGGGGTTGTTGAGGTGGTTTGGTCATTTAGAGAGAATGGATCAAAGTAGAATGAGATGGAGAGTTTATAAATCTGTAGGGGAAGGAAGGCGGGGTAGGGGTCATCCTCGAAAGGGTTGGAGGGATGAGGTAAAGGAGGTTTTGTGGGTAAGGGGCTTGGACTTCCAGCAAGCGTGCATGAGCGTGTTAGATAGGAGTGAATGGAGACAAATGGTATTTGGGACCTGACGAGCTGTTGGAGTGTGAGCAGGGTAATATTTAGTGAAGGGATTCAGGGAAACCAGTTATTTTATATAGCCGGACTTGAGTCCTGGAAATGGGAAGTACAATGCCTGCACTTTAAAGGAGGGGTTTGGGATATTGGCAGTTTGGAGGGATATGTTGTGTATCTTTATACATATACATGCACGTATACTTCTAAACTGTTGTATTCTGAACAACTCTGCAAAAACAGTGATTATGTGTGAGTGAGATGAGAGTGTTGAATGATGAAAGTATTTTCTTTTTGGGGATTTTCTTTCTTTTTGGGTCACCCTGCCTTGGTGGGAGATGGCCGACTTATTAAAAAAAAAAAATTTGGAGAAGTACTCATAAAGGTCACACACCACTTGGGAAATGGGAGGGGTGGAGGCTTATCAGATCTGGGCCAAGGAAGGAAAGAGTAATTCTGATTCCTTGGACGAAGAGCCCTTGTCCAGCATCATAGCACCCACCCTGGCTGGGAAGCATATTAGAAACATTGGGGTATGTGGTGAAAAATAGTTACAAATAAAGGCACTAAAGCAATTTTTAAACACTGGTCGTTTCCCACTAAAGTATATAGGGTGACACATAAACCAGCAGCAAAGCATTATGAATATGTACAGATGGGTTTATGTTAGCTGTACTAAACTCAATCAGAACATCAACACTTGATTCCATATGAGTCTTCAGCATGTTTTGGAAACCATATATACAGGGTGTTCTATAACACTGGAACTATAGGTTACTGACACATGTAACCATCACTCCTAATACCACTTGCCGTGAACTTGTCGATTGGATATCTCAACTGCATTGATGTATTAATAATAACAGTGAATGTTAAATATGTCTTATGAATAAAAGTCTTCTTACTGCCATGTTTCTAATTTTTCCTCTTAGTTCCAGACTTACAGCACACCCTCCATATTGCTCATATGGAATTTATGATAGCAATCAGACTCGCGTTATTGCAATATTCACGAATCAGAAAAGGTACATCGCATAATGGCAAATTCACGTAAGAGAATTGGCACAAAATGAGGGGGGACTTGTACTAGAGCATCAATGATATGTATACCTGGTGCATGCCCAGATCATGGAGGGAATAGTTGAGCACGCTCATCCAGGCAGAAGGCATTCCAACACAGAGGCCATATGATAAGGTGACCAGCATGAGATCACGGTTCCTGAAACATGAAAGTCCTTAAAGAACAATTTATTTTTAATACAAAGGCCATTTCCCACCATGGCAGGGTGACCCAAAAAAGAATGAAAAAACACTTTATAAAGTTTTTCTCCCTTTTACATTTAGTAATACAGGAGAAGGGGTTATTAGCCCCTTGCTCCCGGCATTTCGGTTGCCTCTTACAACACACATGGCTTATGGAGGAAGGATTCTTTTCCACTTCCCCATGGAAATGAAAGAAGTAAATAAGAACTATTAAGAAAATTGATGAAAACTCAGATGGGTGTATACTGTACATATATTAGTACATGCATGTGTAGTGTGACCAAAGTGCAAGTCGAAGTAGCAAGATGTACCTGCTATCTTGTGTATTTATGACACAGAAAGAAAAGACACCAGCAATCCTACCATTTTCAAGAACAAATATTATTATTATTATTATAATATTCAGAAGCAGTGCCCATAGAACCCCCCTCAGTGAGGGGGGGGCTCCTCATCCAAGGAAATGGACCTGTCCTCCCTTTCCTTTGATCAAGCCCAAATACCTCCCATTTCCCAAAGTGCTATATGACCCCTATAGGTTTAGTGCTTCCCCATTAATGTAATAAATGTACCAGTAGGGGTCATGAAGGTCCAAGAACAAATATTAGAAAACAAGCCAACATATTGCAATGAAGGTACCATACAACCATCCATAGTTGCATTCTTCACCAGATATTTTTATTGTACCAGGTATATTCATTATTAAGCTCCTGTAAAGCTCCTGTATATACACAAATAACCCACACATAGGAGAGAGAGAAGCTTACAATGATATTTTGGTTCGACCTGGACCATTTACAAGTAACGAGTGTATGTACACTTGACTTAAAGGGTTTAAGTCAGATCAAAATGTCGTTGTAAGCTTCTCCTATAAGTGGATTATCTGTGTGTTGTTCCAGTCATAGTATTGTGCCTTTTTGCTCCTCTACATAGTGTACTAACAGTCCTCTTAGGGCAATAGTAGGTAGTGATCCTATACATGGGATGTACAACCTAACCAGGAGTAAATTGAACCACCCATTCTTGTTATTTGTTTGCAATTGTGGTGTTAGGATTTCATTAGTCACTAACTGGGGTAAGCCAGCATATGCTTAGTCAGTCTTGGGTCACCATTTGACAGGCCTGCATCAGGAGACGCAGCCCTCTTCCCTGATGAACAAAATACCGCTACCTGTATGTCATACCTGAGCATCTTCCTTATACTAGACTTGAAATTAAGCCTTTCTACTGAGGAAGTGATAGAAGGTGGAGTGGGAGGCACAGTAGGGAAGTACACCAAGATTGCTGCCAGTATTGCTACTCCAACACCAGCATCTGAAGAGACATTATCTTCTAGAGCACACTCAATCAGTTAACATTTACAGAATGTAATCAGAGTATTTCTAATTAGATTAAGTATAATAAATATTACTGGATTATTATTATTATTATTATTATTATTATTATTATATTATTATTATTATTATTATTATTATTATTATTATTATTATTGTACAATATTAAAATGAAGTGCTAAACTTGTGTGGGTTACTCAGCACAAGTTGTGATGGATGCTCAAACCTCCATCTGCTAATCACAAGACACACTACTACCTAAGCTAGCCAACATTAATTATTAGTTTCATATCTCACACAGAAGACTGAAAACTGATTTTAACTGGTATTCCATCACACAGATGTAGAAGTTACTCTTATCTAAAATGTATGTAAAGGAATGTCTCTCACAAAACTTTTAGTTTTATGAGAGACATTCACACAAAGTTTTTGTGAAATGTCATCTACACTATTTAACGGAAAGTGTGCATGTTGCAAATAGAAAATGACAAAAGTTAACATGAAGCCAATCATGGCAGAACACTTCCTTTAATACTCCAGTAAATGCCCTGAGCTGTACACAAGCATTCCTTTCCCCAGACTGTCAGTACCGTATTATCACACTATTTACAATCTAGAGGTAATAATTAAAATACCAATCAGTATAATTATATATTCATGGGGAAGTGCAAAACTTGTAAGCATCGTATAGTACCTACGAGATGGGAGATAATTAGGTTTGATCAGAGGAAAGGAAGCATATAGTACCTCCAATTCAATGGATCAAGAGTCCCTCACTAGCAACAAGCCCCCTACTCCCCTTGAAGGGCCTGAAAAGTACAATAACAAATGCGTATGTAAATTGTCACACGATGAAAAATTTACACTTTCAGTTACTTACATATAAGCTTACAACCACATTTAGTATTTACAATATTTAAAGGCTGTTGAGCCAAGTAAATAGAGCTACTTTCCTCTTTTTCAGATCAAACCCATTACCCCCACCCCTTACAGTCCCCAGATGCTGTAAGATCCTTACAGGTTTAACACTTTCCCATTAAAAAAATTTGATAATTCCCTTAAAACATCATTTTTTTTTTAGTACTACATATGCCATTTTAGTACTACATCTGCCCAAATATAAGGAAATGCATTCACCATCATTCATTCAACAGCTGTCTTGTCAGAAGTGAGAGAGTATCGCGATTCTTTTTTTTTTTTATCAGGCTGGCCATCTCTCACCAAGGCAGGGTGACCCAAAAATGAAACACTTTCACCATTAATCACGCTATTACTGTCTTGCCAGAGGTGCACAGATATGGCAGTTCAGATGTTCCTCCAAACAGCAAATATTTACAATTCAAATAACTCTCCGAATTGCAACAGCACCATCCACCCTTCATTGGCCATATTGAAGGTACACAACAGCACAAGGACTGGAATTCCAAAATAATTTTAGGTTTCACCCCCACAGTGGTGCTTTATCAAGTTAGAGGGAGAGAGGTAAAGGAGGCTTCAAGTGCTAGGGGCTTCCACTTGCAATAGGTTTGTTTGACCACATTAGATTTGAGTGAATAGACATGTGGTTTTTATGATGTGATGTGCTTTTGGAGTGGAGCAAGGAAACTTTTCTGAGGGGATTTATGGAAAACAGGTTAACCATACTTGAGTCCTGGAGGTGGGAAGTATAGTGCCTCCACTCTAAAGGAGGGGTGAAGATACTGCAGTTTGGAGGACCATCTGAACTGAGATTTTCAGCATGCTTCTGAGAAGGCAGTGATTGAATGACTAATTGTGAATATATTTGCTCTTTTTTGGGGGGTCATCCTACCTCAGTGGGAGATGGTCAGTATATTTAAAAAATGTACTGTACTCAATAAACTCTCCACTGTGACTGAATTAGCATTTGTACTCTTTTAATTTTCACATTTCCATGAACAGTTAGGTAGCGTGTGTCTCGCAAACAACAGGTGGAGGACCAAGCCTTCATCATTCATTATAGTGAAGGGCTATCATAAGTTCAGTGCTCCATAATAACTGTTCTATAAATTCTTAAATGAACACTAAATACAAAATACTACTTACATATAAACATAAGTCTCTTAATGTCACTTCTGATCTCATCAGATGTGGTGCTGTTACTAGGAGAGCGCACCAAAAGAGGTTCTAGATAGCTGCCGGCTGAGCCAAGCTGGTTAAAGGCCTGGCTTATTACTGTAAGTAAGAGTTGTGGCATATAGCTTATGGGTTACTGCAAATTAGGCATACACACAAAAAAAACTATAGGTACAGTATATTTGGTGTAAAACACATGCATGTGTGGAAACATGCACATACAGGTGTCCCACACTTTATGCAATAGATGCATTTCAAACCTATGGAAGCCATATCAAGCTCAATAGAGCCCTCACCACTTGATTGCACATAACACAAAGCTTCAATGTGTTTTACAAAGTGCACTGATCACATACAGTGAATGCATATCATACATACAAAATTACCAATAGAAATGGTATACTGCATACCTTTATTAGCAAATTTGTTTAAGTGAATCTGTATAAAGCAAGGGAAAGCTGTGACCATGCCTGTGATTCGTGAGTCTATATTTATTATGTTTGTGTGAAACAACTAACTCTCCAAAGATCATAAAGTATCTGGGAAATGAGAGGTACTGTAATCAGGTTCAATCCAAGTAAGGAAAGGGTAGCTTCAATTCTTCAGACCAAGATATGAGAGTGCCATGTCCTTCAGGAATCAGAAGTGTTTTACCAGTATCTAGGCACATCCCCCCATCAACAGATATAAGACAATTGTGTATGATGAACAGCAGTAGAAAAAAAAAAAAGGATGACCTCTCTCTACATGAAACTATGAAGTCATATAACTGACATGTGTGGAGAACTGATCATTTCCCAGAGGTCAAATTCTTTGGCATAAAATTAAATTCTAGAGAACCTCCTCTGCTGAATGCACAATTAAGGCAGGATTCAGGACTACTCTGTTACTGTATATTAATTATTATTATTATTATTATTATTATTATTATTATACCTAGGTAGTAGGGTGCTAGACAGTAACCACCCAGGGAGATACTACCATCCTGCCAAGCGAGTGCAATTGTTTTACATGATGGTAGGATTGCTGGTGTCTTTTTTCTGTCGCATAAACATGCAAGATTTCAGGCACGTCTTGCTACTCCTACTTACATTTAGATCACAATACACATGCATGTACAAGCCTATATACACACAACCCTCTGGGTTTTCTTCTTCCTTACTACTTCTTTTTGATTATAATAATAATTCTTCCTTACTAGTTCTTGTTTATTTCCTCTTATCTCCATGGGGAAGTGGAACAGATTCTTCCTCCATAAGCCATACGTGTCGTAAGAGGCAACTAACATGCTGGGAGCAAGGGGCTAGTAACCCCTTCTCCTTTATACATTACTAAATTTAAAAAAAGAAACTTGCTTTTCTTTTTGGGCCACCGTGCCTCGGTGGGATGCAGCTGGTGCATTGAAAGAAAGATTATTATTATACATATTTGCAGAAAAAAAAATAAATGTCATAAGGGTCAATCAGCACTAGGCTACTCTCTTAACCCCTTAACTGTCGCAACCCCCCAATCCTGAGGTGTCTCCTGGTGTCGCAAAATTTCAAAAAAAAAAAAAAAAAAAAAAAAATTCTTATGAAATGACAGAGAATCTTTTCCCCGACTGTAATGACACCAAAAAAAATGAAATTTGATGGAAAACTGACAGAATTACGCTCTCGCGAAGTTAGCGACCTCAGCGATATTTACAAATCGGCGATTTCGCCCACTTTGAGCGCTATTTTCGGCTCATTCCATTGTTCCAATAGACCAAACTCATAGCTATTTCTTCAGAACTCCATTTTTTCTATCGATTGAGTACAAGAAATTGCCCATTTACCAATTTCAACTACCCAACAACGTGGTCAGAAATTTGCAATTTGGCCAATTTCACGAAAATATGACAATTTCAAAATAAGGTCCAGAATGAAAAATGCAGACATTCCTGGCTCTAAAATAACATTTTCTTTGTTCATCAGTCATGTCTCCAAGCCCCTCTGATATTATTCTTGCTTTCTATTTTGAATTTTTATTCAAACAAAAAATAGAAAATTTACTGTCATGCAGACTACTGCAGTATTGTAATAATTGTACAAATAATGTCAACCCATTCATGACTGCATATTAGAATGGCTAGTTGGACATTTATTGGACAATGACATCATTTGTTTACTTTTGAACATCGGCAAAAATCAAACATTTTCCCCTACTTTGAGCTCCATTTTCAGGTTCTTTTTATAGTAACACCAATCAAAATCACTTCTATTTCTATAATATGTTTTCCATTCTATCAAATGAGACCAAGAAAACGAGAATACAACCATAAATACTATATGAAAATAGACCACAAAGTCGGCATTTTAATTAAAAAAAAACGGTCAGTTTTTTTTTTTTTTCATTATGCACTGCGTGCTCCAGGATTTTTTTTATATGGTGCACACTGACCACACAGACCCATTCTCTCACATGTGGGCCTACCAATCTTCTCCTGCTTGATTTGAAGCCGCTAGAATTTCTGAGTATATATATACGTCAAACACTGTACCTCGTAAGACGTATATATACGACCAAAACAGTCAAACGGTTAATAAAACAGAATGCCATCAAGAGTTACTCTGTCTGACTTTTTTGGGTTATCCTAGGTTCTCTACACACACATATGCTACTATGTATGATAATCTATGTAACTGTATTTGTGTATACCTGAATAAACTTATTAACCAGAAATGCACACCAGAGTCATCTGAATCAGGTCAGATGTACTTACCTGTGGCTGTAGTTCTCTCTCTGGGTGGGAACCACACAGCTGCAATCAGGGGTGGTGCAGCCATCACCAGTGTGCCAGCTATGCCTACCATGATGGCACAAATGTGACACAT